ATCATGTTAGTAGTAGCAGTAGTAATGGGTCAGAGTCAGTGAACCAGATTATGCTCTAGCACAATCGCTTGGGGCACCTTTCTTTTAGTTCTTTGAAATGTCTTTTCCCAAAGTTGTTTGAGTCCGTTCAGTTATCTACTTTGGAGTGTGAGAGTTGTYAGTTAGGAAAGCATTGTAGACAGTGTTTTAAACCAAGTAATAAAAGAAGTACTTTTGCTTTTAATATTGTTCACACTAATGTATGGGGCCATATCATATCCCTTCAATGGGAGGATTCCATTACTTTCTCTTGTTTGTGGATAACATGATATTCTTGGATATATTTGATGAGATCACGTGATGAGGTTCCTAACATGGTACGACAATTCCACCAAATGGTTCTCACACAATTTGGAGTGAGAACTAAGGTTTTTAGATCAGATAATGCTAAAGAGTACTTTGAGGACTTAACCACCTATTTCCTAGAACATGGGGTAATTCATCAGAGCAGTTGTCCATATACACCACAACAAAATGGAGTTGCGGAGAGAAACAAAAGACACATTGTGGAGGTAGCAAGGAGTCTTATGGTGTGTGCTTCAGTTCTTGCGCAGTTCTGGGGAGATGCAGTTCTTACAGCCGTGCATTTGATTAACCGTGTTCCTTCATGGACCTTGGGGTTTAAGGTGTCATTCAGTCTGCTTTTTCCAGATGGGGARATATTTCATATACCTCTGATGGTTTTTGGGTGGGTTTCCTTTGTTCACATTCTTGGCCCTCATTGCAAGAAATTGGATCCTAAGGCCAAGAAATGTGTTTTTCTTGGGTATGCTCAGAACCAAAAGGGGTATTGCTGTTATGACCTACTGTCGAGGAGAAGATTTGTCACAATGGATGTAACTTTTTTTGAATCCACCTTCTCGAGTGGTTCTCCTCAGGGGGAGAGTTTTGAGGAGGAGAACTCACAATCTRTTCCTCTTCCTGTTTCTTTGGTGCCTTCATCAGTTCAGCCAGCACCTTCATCAATTAAGCCAATACCTCCATCAGTTCAGCCARMACCTGCACCTCCAGTTTCATTACTTGAGCCACTACGGGCAGCCTCACAGAAATATCAGCGCTGGCAGATGATAGTTGACTCCACACATCCTTTACCCACACCACTCTCTATCAGTCCTTTTGAAACTCCAGATCCAGCAAATACAGTTCCAGGTATTCCTCTTGAGCCTGAGCATGCTATGTTTTTTGATGATAATGTTCCTGTCCCTAACACCATTGTTGCACCTGATCCCACTGACCTTGATCTTCACATTGCACTTTGTAAGGGGAAGAGAAAGTGTACAGCCCATTGCATTTCACACCATCTTTCCTATTGTGCCTTATCACCCTCCTACTGTGCTTTTCTTTCTTCCCTAGATTCTGTGTCTATACCCAAGAATGTTATTGAGGCTCTCTACAAACCTGAGTGGAAAACAACCATGCAAGATGAGATGGATGCTTTGGTTAAAAACCAAACATGGGRAATARYTGATCTCCCCCCAGACAAGGAGACAGTCGGATGTAGATGGGTATTCACAATGAAGTAGAGTTGATGGCAAGATAGAGAAGTACAAGGCAAGGTTGGTAGCAAAAGGGTATACTCAGACCTATGGTATTGATTATATGGAAACCTTTGCACCAGTAGCTAAGATGAGTTCAATTCGTATCATTTTATCTCTAGCAGCTACCTATTCATGGCCTTTGTTCCAGCTTGATGTCAAATATGCCTTCCTCAATGGTGATTTACAAGAGGAGGTATATATGGACATTCCAGCAAGCTTTTATGAGAATGTTGGTAAGGGAAAGGTGTGCAGACTCAGAAAATCTCTGTATGGACTGAAACAGTCACCTAGAGCTTGGTTTGACAGGTTCAGAGGGGCACTCATCCGTTTTGGATACACACAGACACAGTCTAATCA